AAGAGTGTCTTACTCTATACCTTCTATTGCTAATGATATGTCATCTGTACCTTCTTTCTTTTACCGGTAATTAAGTGTCTCAAGGAGGTAGCAGCTTCTAGGCTATTCCTGCTCCTGAGTAAGTGAGGTATACTGACTGTAAGCCTGGAGTTAAACAGAAGCAGTTCTGCTCTCTTCACTCTTGTGATCTTATATCAGTTTACCAGTTATTATTTCCTCTTGTCAAATAAAGCAATAGCAAAGCTTTGAAATGATGTTGCAGCTTTTCCAAAGAACAATTTCCCTCTCTTTCTCTGCCCTCTTTCTGCCTTTGCCTGTATATTTGATAGCACATCAGCTTCCTCTTGAAATGATCCCCAGTAGAGCACTTCAGCTATTTCAACCTGGGGTTTTTTTTAAGGCATTTTTTAAAAACTGGCTCCTACAGCAGAGTATGGTTATTATGAAGAGCAATAAAAAAATCCTTCTTTCTTAGAGAGCCAGTGTTGTATGCACTAATGCACGCAGTGAACTCGGTGCCCAAGAGTATGCCCACTGAAATCACATTCAGTTGTACTCTTTGCACACACAAAATTAAGCACCTGTGCAAATGCTTGCAAGGCAATGGCTTTAAATCTCACCAGCAGCTCCGAAGATATGTGTTGCTGTGCAAGAAAGACTGAACCAAGACAATTCTCAGTCATTGTCATTATTTATTTATTACCTGTGTTTCTAAAGTGGATGTTATATAGACATCAACAGACACAATAAAGAGCACAACAATGATCTTCCGAAGAATTTCTTCACTCCACTCCAGTACTCATCATCACTTTGACATAGGCAGTTTATTCCAGGAAATGGTCTGGCCCATTTCACAGCAACACTGACTGAATATCAAACAGGGCAGAAACCAGAAGCTACAGGATTTAATCGTAGCACAGTTTCTGAGATTAACCAATAACATAAACAAAACCCTCTCTACTTAGTTTTTTGCTGTTTCTTACTGCAGGACTGAATTTGAGTTGACGCCGCTCCAGCTTTTTTTTTTTTTTATGCAATTGCCTAGGAAATCCCACAGTAACAGTCTTTTGAGTCAATGGGACTTTAACTGCTTACGAGATTGAAAATAAGAGTTGGATACACATTGTTTCAGGTCAGACAAACGGCCAACATGCAGTGCAGAGATCTTGAGTGAGGTCTCTTCATCAATACCTTTGACTTAGAGAAGTTGTTTTGCGTGGAATTGTTTGCAGCATGTGGGAGGAGCCGCCTGTCTTGAAGGCCCAGTTCTTCCCGTAAATCAATGGAAAGGCTGGCATGGGCAACGTATGTAAAATGAAGTTCATGATTTTTACAGCTTCATCAGTTCCGCTGGAATCCTTTACGTTACGAAGCTTCATGGTGAACTGAACAATGATCAGAGTGACTGAGAATGCTATTCACTGCATCGCGGGGTTTTCCTCTGGGCTTTGCTAATATCAGTGCAGCGCGCCAATCCAGAACAGCTGCAGAAAATGATTCTTGGAAAGCTTGAAAGATTTTTCTCCACAGCAACACATGGGGTCACTGAATTGTACAATAGGAAGTCTTTAAGCATGGATTTTTCAGGGCACTGAATGAAGCAGAGAAGGAGCGATTTACACCTCTTAGAGCTTTTGTTTCAGACTGTGAGCAGATTTTGGTATTCATCATCATATTAAGTTGCTGGATTTTAAAATGCATCTGCACTCAAAGAGCTTAGAATGTGCCTTTTTTAAGGAGAGACTGAAAAAAGATAGAAGAGGTGAAAGTTAACCTATTTCAAAAGTATAATCATATAAGCAAGTTAATAAACATTGAGCAGCAGGTCCTAAAATCCCCTTTCAAATTTATATAAGAAAACTATACATTGTATAAAGTCATAGAATAGATTATCTTTCTTCCTTTAAAGCCTCAGGAGTTTCTCTTTGATGACAACATAGCATTTGGAAATATTATTTCCTAAATATACTTTATTGCTTAAGTTATAGAAATATATTTTGGTAACAAGAGTTTCTGCACTTCTTTTTCTCCTTTTCCTTTCTCTAGGATAGTTGCATTGATTTCAATGAGTTAGTCTAGCCTTGTCGAGATGGAGAAGGAGGCAAGCCAACTCGAGAGGGACCATGTTCACAGTGTATATGAGAAAATTGCTCCTTTCTTCAATGATGCACGCTACAAGGCATGGCCAAAGGTGCAGCAGTTCATTTCAGAACAGGAACCAGGCAGCCTGATTGCTGACATTGGTGAGTGGGGCTGTTTATCATATTGCTAATGACAATGTCTTCTCTATCTGTCAATCAATATTTGTGGAGTATTAATTGAAGAGTTTGGGGCTTGTCTGCAACCTGTGAATCAAAACGGCCAGCCTATCAAACTTGCCTCAGATTTTCTCCACCATTCGTAGGTATATTAAGACAGTGTCACTTTTCCCAGTATCCAGTAGGTGCACTAAGCTGAGCAAATGTTGCCACTAATTTTCTTAAGATGTCATTAGTGGATACTAATGTCTGTATGTAGGCAAGATAGATCCAGATCTTGCATAGCTCTTACAATGGGTATTGCGCCGGGTCACGTTGAACCAAATATCCTGACACTGTCCTGAGTGCTTTGGGGAACAATGTGTTACAGTTTTTAATTCGTGAAAGTTTAAGATTGCCTAAATTATAGTAGGGAGGCCTGCATATTCTGCACCTACCTCACAAGTGGAAGTCATGCTGCTTGCCCAAACGAGATCTAAGATGGCTACGTTGTCATTGCTACATGTCTAGCCTAGACCGCTAAATAGCTTTTTTACTTCTTTTTCAATCTGTAATCCTTTCCAGCGATACCCATGTATAGCCCCATCCCTTTTACTTTTTGTCTTTAAGTATAACATAGCAATATTCATGAAAGAGAAAATTAATATCTGATGGTTTAGTTAATCATATTATCTTGTTGGGTGTCTTTCAAGCTTTACCATATGTTTTGTTCGGTTTATTGCAGTCTAAATGCTGGGCACTATGTTCAAACCAGATCTTGGCAGATTTCACAGTGCTTTCAACGTGAACAAACAGATGCATACTGTGAGCCACAACACTAAATTTTTAGCAGTGTCACAGACTTTTAATATAAGCTCAGGCTTGACACCTGGGTTTTGGCCATTGGAGGCTGCTGATGTGGTGTTGTGCCCATGGTTGGAGATGAGTTTCATGTGAGACACAGTTGCCAGCAGTGCTGCCATGCAGCCATAGGGGAGTCTGCCTTTCTCCCCTGTCCTTCCATGCCTGGGGAGCAAGTGCTGGCACCAGTTTAGTAGAGATGCTTGTAGCATTTGTTGTTGGCTCGTACTGGAGCCTTTCCCTCCAGAACTGAAAGGCAGAAAAAGTCCTGGAGTTCACTTGCAGTCAGAGCTTCCAGGATAGTCCTCTTTCTTCTCTTTCTCCTTGGAAAATAGGGTCTAATATTAGCCATCGACTGGCACTGCTTAACAGGACCTCTTCTCAGCTGATACTGGAGTCTTTCATAAGTCATGAAAAGGACTGTGAGATCGCCAGATATTTTCTGGATATCTTCTTTCCATTCCTGGCAGACAGGATCAGTAGTTAATCTTAGAGCAGCAGTTTGGAGCAGACTTCTACCGTCAACTCAGTCATGACTCATCTCCTATTGAAATGGCATAACAGATTGATGGGTCTGAGAGGCTCCGTCCTGAACACAGGGAACCCCACAGGGTTTCAGAACAGGTAATGTGGGATGACTATAACCTAAACAGAGGGGTTAAACATTTAGGAGGTTCCAAAAATAAATGTAACTTAAAAAAAATTAAATTACAGATAAAAATCTGGGCTCTGACCCAAGGTTAGTGTTTGATGTAAGCATAGCCATAAATAGGATGTGAACTAAAGTCTGCACAAGGTAAATGCTATTTTGTTAGTTCCATGCATTTACCTCCCTGATCTTAATCTGAACGATAATTTTTATGACGCAAGTGAGAAAGGGAGTTTTTAAAATTGATAATCCACTTTAAAAGGCGGTAATTTTGTGTTAAGATCCAGACAATTCTGAAAACAAATTATCACAATTTTAGGTAAGATCTGCTTTACTGCTGACGTTAAAGTAGTTCTTATTTAAAGATATGTGCCTTTATTTCAACACAAGAAGTATTTCAAATTGGGAAGGTGTAAATTTCCATGTCCAAAAACTCCATCATGAAAGGAAACTGCATGGAGATACCAGAAGAAGGAACTTCACTGTTGTCATGGTGACAGTAATTAGCAGCAGTTAAACAGCAAACAATGGATTTAATGGTTTGGTCTAATAGTGGCTTAATTACTTAGCATCCTAGCTTGTCTATCAGCATTTCAATACACAGGAACAATTTAGTGCTGTGCTCCCACTGCATGATGCTTTCACTTAGCTCTTTGTGACTATTACAGGTAGAATTGCAGTAGCATCATTACCATAAATGTTTTTGATTCTGTGTGTGGTGGGAAGGCCAAGGTAAATGCTCTCTAGCAATTCCACTTGAACACCTCCTGTCAGGCAGCAGAGAAAGGAGCAGTCTGTGCTCATCGAACTATAATGGCAAAAAACAATCTGAATTTCACCGCAATCATATCTTCTTTAAAATGAGTGGAGAATTTCAAACTGTTGAGCCCATTCAAGGGCGTACATCATGGCTAATGTCAGGAGCACACTGTCTTTTGCACAGACACCAGATGACCACCTTTCTTTCTCCTCCTCATTATTTCTTCAGGCTGTGGAAATGGCAAATACCTTCATATCAATTCTCAAGTCTATAAACTGGGTTGCGATTACTGTTTCCCGTTGGTGGAATCAGCACGGAATGAAGGCCATGAAGTAATGGTATGTCACAGCCTGTGTCTGCCGTATCGAAGTGAGTGCTTTGATGCTGTCTTATCCATTGCTGGTAAGTTTGTGTGCTGTCAGTTTCTATAGGCCAGACCTTTAAAGGGTCTAAAGCATTTAGGTTGCCTTTGCAGCCCATGCTAGGTTGTTTGTCAGTGAGCAACAGAATCTTTTGGGTTGTGAAGACCAGGGAAATCTATATTAGCATAGTGAATTTATAGTATTGTAGACTCACAGTGAAAAACTGCAAAATGGGTAAGTCATGCAGATATGAGCTAAGCCTTATTCTCATGCAAGCACAGCTAAAATACAATGTGGAAAAAAGGAAAAGAGAGCCTTATTTGTGCTTTATCACTTGGCACAAGTTTGAAATGTTGGCTCTGTCAGGAGGAAGATATAATAAAATTTGCTTAGGAACACCTGGGGAGTTTTTTGTAATGGAAACTACTGCAGAAAGGGCTAGATTGGAGCATATCCCCAGCTCAGTATTTAATCCCCTTATAGCCCTCCTTTTGCACTCCCATGCTCCAGCTCCCTTTGGCCAACACGGTTATTTTTGTGCTTATGAGGTAGGAGGACCATGACACTGATTTGCCTGGAAAATAACTCAGCAAAATAAAAATGTTGCTTTTAGCTAAATCAGTTACCCACTGCTTCACTGCCCGAGAGATCTTGTTTCAGCACAATAAAGGGGATAATGCAGAAAAAGAGCAAGGAGCCAATGACACTTACTTCAGCTACCACCTTAAAACGTTCATTGAACAACCTCAGATTTCTTTCCTTGTCTTTTAAGATTTTTCCTTTTTTTTTTACTTGCCCTTTTCAACCTAACTTAATGATAGATGAACTATCTGTCTTTGTCACTTTTAAAGCAGACTTTGAATGCTACTGTGGCTGTAGCTTTATCCCGTGCTAGTTCCTCTTAAATTTTGAGGGTTCTTTTCTTTTGGGAGTCTTTAAATTACTCACCCACCTTCTACAAGTCAGGTAGTAAACTTATACTGACTAAAAGTAGGGCACTACTGGAAATAAAACAGACTACACTGATCAGCAAACTTCATTTTCTTTTTCTCATAAACTAAGGAGAGTGAAGCACTCTAAGCCTTGTTAAATCAAAGTGAAATGTTAATATCTCACATCTCTTAAAGTTAGTGAGTAGCCTTACACAGCCTCTTTTCAATGTCTCAGGTGACCTTTCTTTAAGCCCTGGGGAACTTTACTTTTCAAGTCTAGGTCCATGTCATATAATTTGACATTTGGTGGAATTCCAAGAGTGCATTATTGTCTCTGGTAGATCATTCTACAGGACTCTGACCCATGCTTAACAACACTGTCTGAGAGCCTTTCAGACATGAATTAAGAAAGGTGACCAGGAGCTAATGGTACTTATTATTAGGTTTTCACATCCTCTGCCCTGATGAAGTAATATGTCAGCATGTGCCCAGATCTGACATTTTCTGGAAATGCAGGGTGAGGAAGTGCTGGACAAGCCTGATTTGTTGAAGGGGATACATAGGCATGGCTCAGAAGTTTTCTAGGCACTGGCATCTCTGGGCCCCAGGACTAGTTATGAGATACAGGCTACACAAAAGCCGGGTAGCTGGGGTGAGATTACTGCTGGAGATGCAGAGGACTATAGATCTTCCCATCCAGAGAAAGCTGTTTGCATGGCTGCAGTGCAAAATGCTAGAATCAGTGAGGAATCCAGGAAAGCACTTACAGATCAATCCAGATGGTTAGGGTGAGTGGCCCCTGCATTAAAAAAGACTGTAACATTGCTGCAAATTACAAAGTTGTTTCTGTTACATCCACAACCATCACAGAGCATGCAGGAACCATAGGAGGTCATGAACCAAATATCATAATTCCTTATTATTGCTGAAAAAAGCTTGAAAAATATGGTTCAAATGCATTATAAAGCTTCAAGAAAGGCAAATAAACCTCTCCTTGATTTAATTACATATTTCTTATTTTTTAACCAACTTACTTAATAATTTTGAAAACACAAATCATCATTTTTAAGTGCTTGGCCTGTCAGCTATGCAAACACTGGTATTTTCACATTTCTTCAAATAAGTTATAAATTATAATACAGATTAGTATATTATACTCAGACACTATATATTATATATTAATATTATATATGTATTGTATATTAATAAAGTATAAATTACAAATTATATTAAATTGTTAAATATATTTGTATATGTACTATAGTTTTAGTAAGTATGTTTTTTTTTAATTCTTCAGTAGACCGCGTAGGGAGGCAAACAATTTCTGTAGGAGTCCTAAAGCCAGGTCTGTAGTAGGAAATCTTGGCAAAATAGCAGCGTCAGGCCTAAGTTAATGATTTTTCTGTACTCAACACTGGCTGTATATACACATATAGTGAAGTATTTTTGCCAGTTCCATGAATGGAATAACCTGTACTGACAAGAAACAAATGTAGACATCATATATCAGCAAAATTTTAAAGTGGGCTGCTTTCAAATGCTTCACTTGCTGTTGAAGGAGACAAATTTGTCCTATGAGTATGCAGTTTATTCCACTATATTTTCTCTGCATTTTTAAAGAACTCTTAGTCACTTTCCCAGTGTATTTATGGCATAATCTTATTTGAGATTTCATAAATATCACCAAACAACAGAAATCAGCCCTTTTGCTGTATACTGATGGTTTTGTAACTGTTAGCATGATGAAGCCATTCCTATATTAGTGAAATCAGTTTTTTTGCTACTAACGATAATGGAAGGAGGACTGGCACTCGTTTATTTCCACTCTGGCTAAAGAATTAATCCTAATCACAATGCAGTGCTGATATTTTTTAGCATAGCTTTACGTTTGTCGACATGATTTTCTCTTTTACCTGGCCAGATCATGTTCTGTATTAATAAAATCTGCTGCATGTTGATTTCTTGGACTCTGAAATAGGTAAAGGACAAGAAAAAGGTTTTTCTATTAATTTAGGTAAGTAATTTCTTTCCTCCAAATGCAAAGGTGAAGACAAATTATTTTCCACTCTTTTTAGGAGTCAGATACTCAAGTCAGTACAATTTTTTATTTTAGTACTGAAATATCTGATCAGCCTTTTCACCCCAGTGCTAAAAAATGGTGAATAGCATCAAATGGTTTTCCTTAATACCAGTATGTGAAAATTAACTTCATTTTAATCTTGATCTTTCAGTCATGTAAGTAGTTTAACAGAGAAAGTGAGGAGAACCTAAAGGAGGTAAAACTGTCTAATCTTCGAGTTTACACTGTCTTTGAATGTGGTCTATGTAATTACAATAATATAATTCTTGTTAAAGTTTCCAAGGTTGGAGAGTCTCTTGGCAACAAAAATCCAAATAAAAGGTTCAGGAGTTTGCTTACTCTATAAGGTTATGTCTTTAAGGCAAAATTCAGTGAGACACACTGAGCAAAAAGAAACTAAGTGCTAGTATATATGTATATATACTATGTACTATATATATATATATGTATATATATAGTACATAACGCTGTTCAAGAGGGCTGGAAGCTGGTGACCTCTCGTAGAAGGAGAAAGGCTCTTGCTCCTCCTCAAGACTTACCCTTGAAGAACAAGTTTAGCGCCCTCCAAGCTGAGGAGAGGCTGGGCATGGCTCCAAGGGAGGCAACTGGCCTGGCAGACCCTGTGCCGTGCAGGAACCCCCGGAAGAAACGGCGAGTGATTGTTGTGGGTGAC